GATGATCTTCAAACATGACTCAACCTCTGACGGAAACACTAAACTCTTACGAAGGTTAGAAATAGGTGAACACTTCAAACCAGCAGACCACTATTATAATTTTCATGCAGTCATTGTTCACTGTGGTTCTGGCGTTGAATCTGGCCATTATTACGCCTTGGTCAAAGACGAAACGGACTGGTTTGAGTTTGACGATAGTCGTGTCACTAAGTGTTCTGGCGATGTATTGAATTTATTGGAGCCTCTGAAACACCCTTTATTTTGTTATATGAGAGAGAGGAGATTGGCAGATCAAGATCTTCAGATGATATGGTGCTGCAGGTTTTTCCGGGTTTTGCTGTAGCTGAAAAAGCAAATGCGCCACTGGAATCAATGAAGTCGCCCCAGAGCGACAATTAATTTTTTGCTTTATTTTATAATTTCATGATTTGTATTTTGGAAGTATTGTTATTATATAATTGCGTTGAATTATGTGAGAAAAAAAATACTCATATATTTCAAATTTAACAGATCTTAACTTATTCCTTCATAAGAATAAAGTTGATGAAAAATTCATCTTACTTCATCAAAATATAACATTTAAAAGTGAAGAACATCAAAATATGTTTGAGGCCTCGAAAACTATGGACAAGTACAGGATTGATCACTTCGATTAACAAAAAATGATTTGTATGACACATAAAAAATCCGGACAATAGTTATAAAAAAAGAATATTCAATATACCGAAATAGGACAAACTAGTAACAAAAACTAAATAAAGGCTACTTTCAGAAACATATCTAAGAGAATAATACCAATCCAAAAAATTTGTGGAAGATAATACAGCAAATAAATAAAACTCCAAAAAGTAAACAATAGACCACTTTCAGAAACATATCTAAGAGAATAATACCAATCCAAAAAATTTGTGGAAGATAATACAGCAAATAAATAAAACTCCAAAAAGTAAACAACAAATTGAATAAATAATCACTGATAATGATATACGTACAATTGATCGAAATGTAATGTGTACTGAAATAAACGACTATTTGTCAAAAGTAGGTCAAAATCTTGCAGAAAACATGCGAACTCCCTCAAACCCTTTTCCTAAACGTAATACAGTTTTGAACTCCTTTGTTCTGGAAAAAGTTAGTGAGAAAAAATCAATAGATATTGTAATATCCTTGAAACTAAAAACCTCTGGTATTGACTCAGTTACAGCTGAAACTCTCCAAAAAATTGCCATAGAGATTTGTCTCTTTCGAATATTCAAGATGTCGGTATTTTTTGGTGAAACAGGAAGTCAACGTCTCGCGATTATTAGGGAGTCGATAGTCGGAAGTGAGTTCTTATAAATTCACGAATTTCAATAGAATTTCTATATACCATGCAGTTCATATTTTTTGAATAAGATCACAACAAACATAAATATAATTGTTCAGACTTTTACTCCAATATATTGAAAGTCATCCCGAGGGGATGAAACATATGCTCGGAAAAGAATATATACCATTCGCTGGGTGCAATATTATAATATTTGTGGTCGCATCCTAGGGATATAACTAAAGGAGAGAAAACCCGTTCCAGGAAGCGTGTAGTACTCCGTACAATTCATCAACCGGGCTAAGTGCCGCATAGCGGAATTTGCTTTTGGTCATTTTCTTTGCTTTCCGTTCCGTCCACGGGCCAATATCTACTTTCAGTGATTAAAACTGTTTGTAATTGTCAGCGAATATTGTTTTGCGTAAGTGTTTTCTGTCCTTAGTATAAGTTATATAAGTTTTGCGTAATATGTGTCTCAAGAGGACTGGACGAAGACCTCCAATAAAGTTCTCATCCACTCCCATTCTACCTTCTCCTGAGAGTTTTAAAAGTGCACGAAACCCCTAGTCATTTCATATTTTCCTGTTATATTTACATACTTATGTCAATAAATAATTAATAATCTGTTAAATTGGTACAGCAGTCTTTCGACATCGTTACCTACCAAAGTTCATTTTCAATTGGTTACCTTTGTTTGAGTCAGGGTCAAATAATTGAATCTATTGGCACCCGTTAGAGTAACATACAATATTTGAGGAACTTACCCCTCCCTCCCTGTTCAGGCTAGCTGTGAGCACAATCTCTTACTTCACCTTGTTAACGTACCATTTGATTTTGTATTTTTCTTGTATTTTACAATGCTGCTAAATTTATTACGTAATACGTTGTCTGCCGAATATTTTCCAAAGTATTATATGTTGACAAATGACGATTGTATTATATTTTTGACTCATTGGCAACATATTCTTAAAGGTGCTCTTGAAGGATTTACGATGCTCGAAGCCATCATGGAACATACTGCTGTAGCCATAGGCATGGATCCGTTGGAATTTAGAATCCGTAATATTTCTAAGACTGACCCTCGCATAATGGACTATATAAATGAGATGAAGATATGGGCAGAAATAGATGAAAGAAAGCTGCAAATAGAGCAATTCAACAAGGTAAATAAACAAATTTCCACACAGCTTATTTGCAATCAATATAATGTGCTAAAAAGTATCGACAAAAGCCTAATTTAATCAAATACTGTCATCAAAAGTTGAACATCTAGAAGGAAAATTTAAAATTAACTACTTTTATATAAAAAATCAATTATACAAAAATTTAAATGAAATGAATAAAAATACTTTTGTCTCAATACCACTGGTAAATTTTATTCATACGACCGGTTTCGGGATCCATTTCATTTAAGTAATTATGAATTACCATAAAGTAAACAAGTCATCAATCACACATATTATTCAAAAATTACTTTCCCATTCAGTTTTTGCTACAAACATTCGTTATGGAATTTAAACAGGTATCATTCGTAGGAACGCTACACATTGTAATATATGAAAAAGATACGATATTGAAATTCACTCACCTATATAGGACAATTTTTTTAAGGACAAAACACAAGCACTACAGGAAAATCCTTAAGGCGCTCTAAGAGCGGTGCCTGTGCGAAAGTAGTGATTAACATTGGATTTGAATCGCTGGAGATTAAATCCATTTGAAAAAACGTTCTCAGGAAGTTTATTCCACGTTAATGCAGTGCTCCAAATGGAATCAAATGTGCCAAGTACTTGAACACTTTCCGTGAAAGTATCGATGTTCCAGACTATCAAGGTTGCAAGTGATTTTCGCGACTTCAATCAGGCGGATGGATCTTTTCTGGATGGAATCCAGCAGCTTCAGGGTATGTATACTTAGGGGTGGAGCTCCATACATGAGAACAATTCTCCAGAGAAGGTATGACCTGAGCTTTATAAAGCATCAAAAGCTGCTGGGGTGTGTATAGTTTTCTGGTTCAGAACAGTGTTCCAATCTTTTGAGAAGCGGCTTCTGAAATTCCAGCGACATGGTTCTGCCAAGACATATTGGTGTCCATTTTAACCCCCCAACAAACTTATCGAAGCGAAAGCGAAATTGTCTGTCTTAACAATATTATATCCGGTTTGGAGACATTTATCTTTTTGAAGAAAACCGATACCTGGGTTTTTGTGGCATTGAAATGAATCTGGTTACCCACAGTCAAAGGCCTTAGAAATATCAAGCGCTACAGCTCTTGACTACAATAGTGTGCTTTGAGGTTTCGGAATAGAATACGTTTCTCATGACCTTGCCAGCATTTTTTTTATAACATTACAAGATGAGGTATTCATTTCTTTGAAGAGATTTTTTTGATTTCCACCATTTGGCCCATGGAAAATTTCATTGTATCTGGAATTTTTGTAAGGTTGAGGATTTTGGGATAGCGTTCGTTTTCTAGTCGGTAGTATGTTACTCATCTCTGCAGAATAATGAATCAGCTTTTCACAATTGATTTCTATTTTTTCTGATGAAAGGAATGTTCCTTATTCTGTTCAGTATTAGTATCTATGATTTATTTATATCTTCTGAATCGTTTCTTTAAGGCCTCAATCATAAGGTTCACTTCATAGACATATTCTGTTTCGTCGATCTTGTTCTTCATAAAACTTTTTCCTGATATTCATGCTTCTTGCTTGCGGATGAAAAAAACTACTGTTTTCTCCTCCGTGCATATATCTAGGTTTTACCTAGTTCTTCTTCGAGTTAAAGAAGGGGTAAACTATCAGCTATTTCCTTTTTCGTCAACTCTTTACGGTTTTTTTCTTTCAGTAGTTGTTGTTCAGCTTCAAGCACTCTGGATTTACCGCTATGCGGTAGCACCCTGCTTGGTCGCTTCCAAATCTAAAGTAATTCATTAAAATAATTCGATCTTTTTCGAAGTACTCGATTGAACTAACTACGTCGAGTACCTTTCATGAATCAAGAAAGTTAACTCGCCTGTCTTATTTTCAATTTCTCTCTCAGTTAGTTTGACTAGAATCAATTCCAGTTTCTCACGACTTACGAATTAACCTGGACGAATCAACTTGACGAAAGTAGTTCGCGATAATTGTGATAACCTAGTGTATCCCGGTATCTTTAGAATGCAACACAGCCACTAGTAGGTATACAGTGCGTAGTGTTACCCCCCTACCTAACTCTTGTTAGGAAAATCGCCCAAACACGTCAATTTTTTATTTATACAATGTACATTTGAGTATGAACAATTCACCCCTAATTTCATCCCTTACTGGAGGGGAGCAACACTTTCGAAAAATGTGAATAGCATAGGGTGGCGACGGATAGCTCATTTCATAGGGGGTTTCACTATCTATTCAACCGTGTAAGGAAATTAAAATTTGCCATATCAATTCAAGAGTTATGATTGTTTAAGAATAACGACAATTAACGTTGCGCCCTGTATGATATCGGTTTTGGTTCAGACGTCAAGTGAGGCGTTATTTTTTATAATTTGCATATTAACTGTCCGTTTCTGTAAACGTTCCTTTCAAAGCGTCAGGACTGAAACTAAAACTGAAATCTATTTTTGCCAGGAGGTCAACGGTGGAGGTGGAGGTTACTGTAATAACAGAAAAAATTAGTGTTAGTTTAGTTGTTTTCCTGTTTGTGGTATATATAATTGCACGGTTGAACAGAGAAAAATGCCCTTTCAAATGAGCTATCACTCACCACCTCATACTATTTAAATTTTTTGACAGGGTTGCTCCCCTCCAGTGAGGAATGGAATTAGTGGTGAACTATTCATACAGAAATGTACACTGTAAAAATAAAAAATCGACGTGTCTCGGTGATTTTCCTAACAAGAGTCCAGTAACGAGTTAGATAGGGGAGGTAACACTTATGATGCGCACTGTATATAGTATACTTATCAGTCGCGAGCGGTATGAATAACTTTCATCACATTCAAATGAATCTGTTTAATGATCTCTCATAACTCACACTAATTATTCAGTAATATAATTACTAAAATATAATTCTGCTTTTCAGAATAATCGTTGGAAAAAGAAGGGGATATCTGTGGTGCCATTGATTTATCCTATTCCCTTATTTTTTAGTTACAGTGTTATACTGTCCATATATCATTCTGATGGATCTGTGGCCATATCCCATGGGGGTGTAGAAATTGGACAAGGAATTAATACTAAGGTATTTTTTGGTTTGATTTAGGATTACATCTAAATCACAGTTCATCACAGATCAAACAACACTTAATAGCAAAACATTCATGTCTAACATGAGGCAACAGTCCAGTACAATATCAATATTAAAACTATTATAGGTTAGTAGTTTTAACTTACACTTTTCTTCAAGTTGTCGAGTACCATTTCACATATCTGGGCATATTTGTATCATCAATATTACATCTTTGAAGTTCTAGTATTCATTAGAAAACGTCAATTCGTAAAAGTTTCAATTTTGTAGGTGGCATTTTCACTAGCAATTAAACGAGTGAAGCAGTTATCCCATTTTATTTTCTACATAGCTTACAAATGGCATTCTATAATTCTGCAAACGCCTGTGGATTAACAAGATTGATGACTAGACATAAGAATCAATTCAGATTTTTCGATATTATGATGTATTTTAAAGAAAAGTTAATTTGCACTAGTTTTCAACTTTTTTCCTATTGCGAACCGTCTCAAAGATATTCAGGATATTAGAAATTTTTTTCCGAAAATTGGAACCGTTTGTCGATGAAAACGGTTTCGAATTAATACAGAAGATATCTTTTATGAGCATTATTTTTTGGGTAAAACTTTTTCTAAAATTACACTTTTTTTTCCTAAACTTCTACAATATCGAATAATTTCTCATAAAATTCTAGCTATTACCTCAATGTATAAAATTATATTTTTCAAAAGTAGGATCCTTTATGTGTCTAGAAGCATTAAGTGACTCACAGTAGTGATAGCTGATCCCATTTATATCCTGAAATTTTCACACAATTTAAGGACAGTTTAGCTTTGCATCGTTCACTAATTTTTAGTTCTCTCTCTATGATGAAAAATTGTTTGCTTGCTTAAAAAAATAAATCAAAAAAGCTCTTTGCTAGAAGAAAACTACATAGAAATATTCATTTCGAACTTGAAAGTTAAACACCACAGTTGGGCTGGGATAGAATCGAGATAGGTTAATGCAGTCAAACTGCTGGAAAATGATTCTATGAAAATATTTCGAAAACCATTAGATAGTCAAATAGAAATATTAGCACGAAGAAACTACTTTTAGGTGAGTAATTTAATTAAGAACAAACTATTTCTTGTAAAATTGAAACGATAATAATCGTAAAAGTTTTGTGGGAGGTATGTTTATGAAAATTCATTTTTACAGAGCCCTGAAGAAGAATTTAATCAAATTCGAAACGTCGGCATGAAAACAATTGTTTTTTTAAGAAAAAATTGGTCGTGTTACCAACTTCTCTTCAGAAAAATTATAGGATCACTAACCTAGTTAACTGACTATAATTAACATCAAAATAAATCAAAATAAAGAGTGAAAATGAAAGTAAATAAAGCAATTCTCCAATAGCCTTATTGTATCTTTTTTATTTATCAGATTGTGGAAGGTTATACATATAAGATACATTGACTCCTCTTCAAAAAATGTTTTTCAGAGAATATAAAACAACTCCTTTTTCTTTCAGGCGATTCAAGTTGTTGCTTACAAATTGGGAATTCCAATGGATAAAATCACGGTTAAACCTAGTAATAATCTCTCATCAGCTAATTCTCACATGACCGGGGCTAGTATCACCAGCGAATCTGTGTGTTGGGTAAGGAAACATTTTGTCATGTGCTATATCTTCCGTATTCCCTATAATATTGTAGTGCCTTTTTGATTTCAAATGGAAAGATGAAGTAACTACAAAGTATTGCATAATTCATATTCTGGAAATGATATGTTATGAAATATATTCATCCGTGTTCATTCAATAAATTAATAAAGACATATTATGAGAAAAGTCAGTGCTACAACTTTCTGTTCTTCATGAGGACATTTCCAAAGACATTATGAGAAAAGTCAGTGCTACAACTTTCTGTTCTTCATGAGGACATTTCCAAAGACATTAACAAAATCAAAAATTCAAGAATGCTATTAGTGTAACAAGTTATCCTTCAATGTTAATAAAACCAGTATACTCACAGAAGAACAGATGAGCACAAGAGAGAGAGAGAGAGAGAGGAATAGGTATAAAAGAATGATAGGGAATACTAGGGAAATCCCTTCTAATGACGAAAGAAATGGGAAGGGAAGAAACCCGCAGGTATCTTCTGGAAGAGTACTTCCCTAAGAATGATCACGTGATCGATACTCCGGTCAGGCGTTGGATAAGGAAGAATGGGGTGAGGCCATCTTTTACGGTTGGGGAGCTGCGAGCTGTAGCTGAGCAGCTTCTCAATGGAAAGGCGACTGGCATAGATGGGGTCCTCAATAAAGTGATTCGTAGGGCGATCGAATGAAAAGGGGAGTATATGTTAAAACTTCACAACACCTGTCTGGAAAGAAGTTATTTCCCTGATGTGTGGGAGCAAACAAAGGTTGGGTGGATACCTAAAAGGACGGAAATCCCAGTCCAATCAGCTTGCTGACCGGCATGGGACAGATGTTGGACATGCTTCTTAATGGTAGAATTCAAGTCTGTTATGAAAGAGAGTTGAAATTATCTCCCAGCCAGTATGGTTTTAGAGAAGAAATGGATACTGTGATGGCCGTAGAGAAAATTATGAAGCGAATAATAGAGAACAAGAGACAAAGGAGACACAGTCTGGTTGTGGAATTGGACCTGTCCAACGCCTTTAATACCATGTGGGCACCGGCGATTGAGAGATGCATAACACGTATGGGAATGCCAGAAAATGTGGAGAAGATGTGCATGATCTTTATAGGGAAAAGAACAGTCACCTGTGGAACGGTCTCTGGTTGATATTCATGGAAGCGTGGTTCGAACGAATGAGAAGCATGAAAGCAAGACAAGGCATTGGAATGCATGGAGTGCACATGAAGGCCTTTGCGAGTGACCAGCTGGTCATCATCGAAGGTGGCTCCGTCTGGTCTGGAGCAAATGTAAAGCTTGGGAGGAAGAGATGTGGCTGGAGTTTATTGACAGAAAGACGGAATGCATGTACATACAGGCCAGAAAGGATGAAAGACCCCGGTCATAAGAATGAATGGTAGGGAGATTGAGATCAGAATGGCCGAGGTGTACGTGGATTCCGGAGCGAGCATGGAAGTCGGAAGAATGGGCATAGATTGGGCGTATAAAAGGAACGAGGGTGAATGGGTTCGAGAAAATGAAAGAATCACCGGACAGAGCAGTGTGAACGAGGCAGAAGCGATAGAAGAAGGGATAGGTATATAAATCATATATGAGAGCGTGAGAGTGGTCAGTACCCAAATCGTATGGCATAGAGGACACTAGAACGACAACCTTGGTAACAAGAAGGCCCATGAAGAGGCGACTCTAAGCTTGAATCGAGGAAGTGTCACTTGGAATGTGAGAAGAATGGAAAATAACAATGAGGAAAGAAAAATTGTCAAAGAATGCGTGATGGAAGAATGGCAGTGGGAATGGAAAGACGGCACTGGGCGACTGTTATACAGATTCTGTAAAATAGTCAGGTTTGAATCTCCTAATCTATCGAGGAAGGCTGTACAACTATTCACGGGGCATGGAAACTTCCCGGGTTAACTAGCTGGGTTCAACCTGGGACCACATGTGCTTGAGAGATGCATGGAAGGAGTGAAAGTTGGATGGTGCAAATGGAAATAAAAATGAATGGATACGCATTGCGAATGAATGGGCAGAGAGTGTAGTATGGAATGAAAGGGAAGAATGAGAGGCAAGCTGCCAGCATGCCAAACGGAATTCAGAAATGAAAAATTGTGAATGGTTCTTGCCCTAGTCCTGGTAGACTCCTAAAGCTGTGTGGACTTAGCGTGTGTACCTGAATTGGCAATATCTTTCTCGATGCTTTTATAATATGTAGTTTACTGATTGTTTCTTTTTTCTTTTACTGTTCTGTCATAATTATGTCACTGACTAATGTGTAAATCGAGATAGGAGAGTTGAGTTAATTATTTTCATTGTGATAGTACCTTTTGTTACATTAATTTATTGGAAAATAAATAAAAATGGGTCTTCTACCCCGCTGGTTGCGTCCCTTTGTAAGGCCAGCGTTACGCACCCACTGCACGAAGGAGGGTGAGTTCGGAGGAGTAGGGGTCCCCCTGACAGTGGTGGCGATGTAGATAGAGGGAAGATGCGCAGTTGTAAGGCGCGCTAGCCAGGTCAACAGACGGTGATGACAATTCTCATGTGAAACATGAATCTGAGGGGGACTACTTTGAAGAGGACACAATAGAAATTGGTGATAAATGAATATTTATATTTATTTTTTGGACAGACCTCGTATTTATCTATCCGTTTATCTCTTTATCTTTCCATATATCTGTCTATCTAACCATCCATTCTTCCATCCACTTTTTATTACTGAAATTAAGAGTTGTAACATCTATGTCTTATTTTCAGTGTGACATTGAAATCATCATTCTTAATATCAAATGTAAATAACTTATTATGTTCCATTATGTTCCACAACAAGTTCCTACTTACCCGATAAAGGTGAGTCATTGGATACGAGAATGACTCCCAATTCATTGAGCACATCTTATCCTCCATAATAGATTCCATACATCCGCAAACGGCAACAGTGGTGTCACGACATTACCTTAGGATTGTTGAAGACAGTGATACGAACAAAGCATTTGACAAATTTAAATTACAGGCAACAGCTCGACCAATACACATTCTTCTCTCAAGCGGAAGTGTTTGCCTTCTTGTAGTGGAAAAGAAATATTACTAAGCGAATCAAAATCCTTACAGACAGGCTGGGAATCGATAAACCCAAGACATCAGTACTGTCCTGGGAGTGACGCAAGATACTGTAGAAACTGCTGGACCAGACTAGATTGACTCATACTGGGTGCCTGAACAATCAGAAACCAGAGGCAATGGAAAAGCTGATGGGTGTACAAAATACGGATCATCAACAATGGCTCTGAATCAACTGAAAGAAAAACTAATATTTTATCGATTGGAAATGGATTGGTAAGAAACAAAGAGTATTGGGGCCGTTTGAAAAAGAACTTCAAACATAAATGTGTTTGGTTTAGAATATTCATAGGGCTAATCACTGGACATTTTTCATTTCACTAGGAAAAATAGGGCTCTATGTTGAACACCTCAACTTCAGGCAGTGCAACAAAGGGACACAGACAGTTAGTCATATTTTATGCCAATGTGAGGAGCTGGAATACTGGAGGTAAACAATGTATGGACAGAAACAAATAATATCTAGAAGAATATAACAAATATTCAACAAAGAATATGTACAAAGAAGTACAGGAGACAAAATTGTTGGAATGGGTATCAGGAAAATATGGGAAGGAAAACGTAATGAGCCCAAGAGGTTGCAGATTCTGGAGTTTGAAAAGGAATTAGTGGAAAAATATTGAACTCGTGATGTTGCCTTATATGGCTATAGCTACATAATGCATTCTTGAGTTGCTTCTCTCTCTTCTCTCCAATGTTCAATATTTCATTTTATCCTTTCTTTGTCAAAAATGATGAAGTACTATTACATCATATATACCTCACAAATCAGTATATTTCAGGCACTTATTAAGGCATGTGATATTCTTTTATCAAGAATGAAGCCAATCAAGGATAAAATGGTAGATCCAACATGGGAAAAAATAGTCGAAGAATGTTACAAAAATCACATTCATCTAACTGCTACTTCCATGTAAGAACAAATTTGGTATCTTCAATTGCATACTATTCTTACTGATTTTTCACTTGTAGGAATTCTCCCTTAGATCCAGAGCTGGGTAATTACGTAGCATATTGTGTTTGTGCCTCTGAAATTGAACTCGATGTCCTAACGGGGCAACATCAAATTAGCAGGGTAGATATATTAGAGGATGTTGGTTATAGCTTGAATCCACTGATAGACATGGGACAAGTAGAAGGTGCTTTTATCATGGGCGTTGGTTACGGTACGACAGAAGAAATAGTTATTGGACAAAATGGAGAAATGCTGACCAACCGCAGTTGGAATTATAAACCACCAGGAGCAAAGGATATTCCAATCGATTTCAGAATCAAATTTCCAGGAAACAATCCCAATCCCATTGGCGTGCTGCATTCAAAAAGTAATTATCAAATTGAAATAATGGTAGTGAAATTACTAATATTTATCAATCCACAATTGTATTTCATACAGTTCACCGAACACTGGATAATTCTGCACTTTTTCATTAGGAACCTTCATAGTATCTTTCACATTTCACCTTACTGTTCTTCCCTAACTACAAAAAATATTCCGAAGAGGGTTATTTTATGAAAATAACTTTATTGTTTTCCGAATTATTTCCCTTGATGATCAATACACTTTTGCATTCGTTCAAATCATTTGTCAAATCAGTTTTCTATTCCTCTTGAGACACTCCAGAATATGGAACGCCGTTTTACTTTTTATTGTCACAAATATTCATTCCTCAATTCANACATTGTTAGTTGAATAAATTGAGGAATGAATATTTGTGACAATAAAAAGTAAAACGGCGTTCCATACCAGAACATGGTTTTTGAACTCTTCAACTACTTCTTCGGCGCTCGTAAATCGATTACCACGCAGTTCACCTTTGATATTCGGGATCAAGAAAAAGTCATTGGATGCCAAATCAGAACTGTATGGAGAGCGAGTCATCAATTCGATGTTTTGTTCAAAAATTCACCTGCATATATGATGAGATGTGTGAGAGCTCATATTGTCATGATGGAGAATGATTTTTCTTCGGCGGTCAGTTTTACGACTTTCTCCGAAGACTTTCGGCAAAGAAATGGCCGTGTAACACTCAAAATTGACCGTTCTACGTTGCTCAAGCGGAACAGTGGTCATTTGCTTCGCTGTGCGTCTTCCACGAACAACTTTTGTTGGATTTAGCTTGTCTTGGAATACCCACTCGGTCGATTGCTGTTTTGTTTGCGCATATATCCATGATTCATCACCTGTCACGATTTCATACACGTCTTTGGAAGCTTTACGGTCAAAATTTTCAATAATTTTCTTGCACCACTTGATGCGAGCTTTTTTTGCGATTGATGAATTATGGGGCATCCAACGAGAATATTTTTTTACAACTAAGTGTTCATGCAAAATCGAATGTATTGAAGTGAAACCAATGTGCAAGGATGCCTCTAGCTCACAATATGTCACATGACGATCTTGCATTATCATGCACTGCATCGATGTTTTGTGGCACAACAACCGATTTTGGATTTTGGACGCCCTTCACGGAATTCGTCGGTGACTGAACCACGACCACGATTGAATTCACTATACCAGTGTTATACTGTGATTTTTGATGGTGCTTTATCGCCATAGAAAGAACTGAATTTATCGACACATTCTTGTTGATATGATTTCACATCGAAAGTTCTGAAAAATAATCCGACGAAAACCTTCTCTTGATATCTCCATTGATGTTTCCTAACTCACTGTGAAAGAAAACAAATAACACTTGTACATCAATACGTTGTGAGTACGTTTATGCTAAATAATGTCAAACGTCATTATGGTGTTGCCACATTGACACCTATTGACATTAGTATTGCCAGTTCCCGAAATATAAATAGTCCCCAATCGTATTGTCTTTCTTACGGTTATCATCAAATTTTTTGTCGCTTTTTTTATCAATAATATTTCATTTCAATATTAGGGTTTTTTGAATTTATTAACCACTTCATTCAATGCTACAGAAATATAACTTGTAATACTTAATTAATACTTTAGACTCAATTATAGTTCATTTCTTTAGAATGATTCACTCTCGCGATGTCTATGGCAAATTGTTTATTCCAGGCGATTCCGGCATCGGATCGGATCCATTAGAATATTTTTCACTTTTATTATTTCTCTCAGAATGGAAATTATTATTTCATAAGTGAACATTTATTTGTTGGACGAAATTCAGTGAAGATCGTTGGTTCACTGAGCTCATTTGTATCTGCCTTTCTTCCACGAGCCGGAGAGATGGTTGGGGCTCTCCACAAGCCTGAAATAAATCGTCAGCGGGAAAGTGACAAATATGGGATCGTAAGATTTAGCTTGTGTACCTATCTTATGAGTCAATCATGCGCTGATTTTGAGTTCGTTTACATTTGGGGTCACAGATATTATAAAGAGTTGTCAATGAGTTTGAATATTACTCGAGTTTTTTCCGACACCCAACCGATTGGTTTGGTGTTGGGAAAAAACTCCGGTAATATTCATTACTACACCAAAGGTTCCCAACAGTCCATCACAAGTACATATTGAGTTTGACATAAAGAGGAACTCTTTAAAGTAATTGTTATAGCAGAGAAAGTGAACTTCGATCTATTCATTTCAGCTGTGGGCGAACCACCAATATGTTTGTCAGTTACTGTGCCTTTGGCGATTCGTCAAGCCGTGGCTTCTGTTCGAGCAGAAGCTGACGTAGATGCTCCAAGGTGGTATCCAATCCGTAAGTTTGAAGATATATTTTCTCAATGATGAATCTTTAATAAAGGTTACATGTAGGTAATGTAATAATGAGTAGCTGTAAAAGTAGTGGGAGTTTCAATTTTGACACTGTTTTGACCCCATCTTTGTGCTTGTTCTATGTCGATGATATGAAAAATATCAATTTGATGAGAAATAATAAAATCTGCCTCCTTATGATTTTTCTTCAGGTAATGAGAAAGACCTAACATTATTTTTTTCTATTTCCTATATCTATTCCAAATAATCACATATACTTCAAATCGATGAATGCTATAGATCAATTTTGTTTTTTCCGTGTTCCCCTCTATATGTCAACTTTAGATTTTATCTCTCACTGTACGTGTACATCAATTTTCATAACTTTCGAAATCACTTCCACTACGACAAATTACGCGAAAATTACATCATCATTTTCTGCTTTATTTATACTTCTTAGGTTCCCACTTCTAACTTGCAAACGAAAATACTGTCAATGAGAAACTCTGGATGATTGTATTGAATATGCTTTAAATTTCTAACATATATTAGTACTATTTTCATGGCAATATACGTTGCGTTAACATTGGAACAGGGAAAGATATCGAAGTTGGACACAATTTGTACAGGAAGGAATCTTTTTAGTAGTTTCTGATTTAAAAAAACCAATGATGTCGCATTAATCGCTGCAGAGAGGGCACTATTAACTTTTTTTCTCAAATAGAAAGGAGTGTCTTGTGACCCTTTGCTCGGAAGGTTTTTCAATTCTCTAGAAAAGGACCATTACTGTTTTGAATTTGGATATCCGGTTACGTAGTTATTGTGTATGAGTTGAAGACAAGACAAGGAATAATGATGATTTGTAATTATCTAAGCAAAAGAGGAAAGAAACATCTCCAAAGTTAGTTATCACAGGTTACACAAGTGTAAAAGAAAGCAATTGTTCATGAAAATGAATCGTATTCAGAATAAAATTAAATGAAAGTGTTTGAATAAAAAGCGCATTTCTGTGTGTAATTCGATTTAAAATTCTTTTGTGATCAACTATCTAGATGAGAATCCACACCTTGTTACCATAGTAATGGACAGTACTGTGTTACTATGTAGATGAGAATCCACATTGTGTTACCCAATAACAAAGAGTGCTGTTAGCTGGATATCTGCCTCTATAGATACTGATAATTCGACTCTTTTCATTTCGCGCCAATTCTTCAGAGAGAAAAAAGCAATCCATATTTACCCCGAAGCCGGACGTGATTTTCATGATTTTCAGAAAGTGTGTTCAATGCAAGAAAATCCGATCTGTCGAAAATATCTCAGGGAATTGGTTGAAGGAATTCAAACAGCTGGAAGTGTATGTACAGCTGTAGTTGTTGGAATAAAATCTGAGAAGAGAAACAGTATGAAATCGTTACGTCAGTTTCACCCCTATGAACAGACTGACAGAAGAATACAGTTTTCTTCGTACGTTTTATTGCAAATAAAAACTGCATAAAATGTACGAATGTATAGTGACGAATGTACTTTTTTCTTCTACGGAGGTGACAACCGTCAAAATACGCGATATTGGTCAGACATATAAATCCACGCATTTTTGAAGATCACACTCAAACTCCTGAGAAAATAAATGTCTTGGCAGCAATATTCAGAAATCATACGGTAGGTCCCAATCTAGAGGAAAATCTGAGTGGTGATTTATATTTGGAAATTCTTCGAAACCTCATCTACCCAAAGATTCAAGAAATTGTAGCCAACAAAGAAGATACATTCGAAATTCCAGTTGTTTTCAATACGATGGTACGCCCCAATATTTTTTTGAGTCCTATAAGAGATTGGTTGGATCCGACGTAACCAGGCATGTGGATTGGTAGGTGCGGTTCATTGGACTGGCTATTGGAATGTTACGCAACCTGGAACAATACGGGAACTCGATCACAGAATTACCGAAACTTGTGCTAGTCACCCCAAAAACATTTCAAAATACAGAAATGAGTACTAAAATTGACTGTTTTATTAGTGTCAGGATTTTCAACGAGAAAATTTTGAACTAATGTTTTCATGTATAAATAATAACGAGGTTGAAAAAAAGTGCTTATCGTGTTACGCCCTTAAAATTAACACTCATCTATTGCAAAAACTGTCACTGATTCTTTTCTCTCTCCAATGAATAATCATCTCAAAAAATCTCTGACATAAAGTAGCGAAGTTAAGAAATTCCTACTCCCAAATTCAAACATCAATAACTTCCCAGCCCATTATCCAAATACAAAAAAAATTAAGGTAATTGATTGGGAATTGAAATACGAAATGTCACAAGACTCCCCTTTCCATTTGAAAAAAAAATTGTTGATTGCACCCTTTCGGCGATGTGTGATGTTAGACTAATCGGCTTTTTCATCAAAAAGTACTAACCATGATATTTTTTTACAAAAATTTTGCCCTATTCTGATATCTTGTCCCGTTCGAAAGTTAAGAAGGGGGACTATTTACGTCCGCACTCTATTTAAACCAAATGATATATTCCAGATGGGCCTTCTACAGTGGAAAACACTTTTGTAAATTGTCTTCACGACTACAGCCAGTATACGCTATGAAAATGAAAAATTATGATTATGTAGTAGTAAATATATATTAGTATTTCTGTAGTTATATACGACCTAGTAATAAATACAGGTTTTTTTTATAACTTTGCAGTTTTGAATGCATCCTTCATTAACCGTGATCCCATCTTATTAACTATCTATTTTCAAATACAAAAGAAGAAAAATGAATTGTTTTCTCTTGGCATAGATGAAATGATCAAACAATTCTCACAGATCATAACTCACATAGCAGAAATATGCATTGGAAAAACTCGAACTATCCGAAATCATCCCCCACTACCTTGGTGAAATTCCGAGTGCAACCAAGCTATCAAGCAGACCAAGAAAGCATTCAATACCTATAAAAGACACAGAACACCTCAAAACCAAATAGAATTCAAAAGACTGAGAGCAAGATCTAGGTATATCATGAAAAAAGCAGACTCGAGTCATGGAAAAAATTTGTGTCTGGAATCAATAATACAACCCCTATAGGAGATGTCTGGAATATGATCAAGAAAGTTTCAGGAAAATATATTCACAATCCCATAAGTAACTTAAAAACTTAAATACAATTTTAACCTCACCACAAGATATTGCAGAGGCACTAGCATCAACTTATAACCAGCACTCAAGTGACAATAATTATACCTCTGCCTTCATTACTAAAAAAAGGAATGATGAAAGAGCAGACATAACATAGCAAAATATGGAACATGATTTACTGAACTGCCCAACAACACTCAATGAACTCCTCGATTGCCTCAATTGTACTAAGAACTCATCTCCTGGACCTATGACATTCCTATGATATTCATACGTATGTTACCAGAAAACGCTACTGATATTCTTTTGAGGATATACAATCGCATCTGGAATAAACACATATTCCCTCAGAGATGGGCAGAAACAGTGATAATACCCATATATAAAATAGGTAAACCCAAATCATCACTGTGCGATGAGCAGATTATTAGAGAAAATAATCGAAGACTTATGTGGATTCACGAATTCACGAATCATTAGCAAAGACTGCATTGCAGTCTTCTTCGACATCACAAGAGCATATGATACTGTATGGCGGTACTCAATCCTAGACACCCTACAGAAGTGATCATTTGGAGGAAACTTCATGCATTTCATTGCAAACTTCCTGAAATTCCGCGAATTCCGTGTCAGAGCCAATGGGGCGTTGTCTTCCTCCAAAATTCAGAAGAATGGGATTCGACAGGGTTATTCACTAAGTGTCACTTTATTTCTCATAGCTATCAACAATATTACTGACAAATGTTCAGAACCTCTCAAAGCAAGACTCTATGCAGATGACCTCGTTTTTTGGCAAGGGAAAGAATCCGATCTCAATACATAACAATCCACAGAGATTCATGATCAATCTAGAGGAATGGTCGTCATCTTCAGACCTGCGAATATCACTTGAAAAGACAAAAGAGAATTGCACTCGGAGTTTACTGCACAAGTCCAACTACCAGCATCCACTGCGAAGCAAGTGAGCCATCATTATCCTCAAGGAGGCAATTGTTAACTCTAACATACGCCTACTCTATATTATCATTTCCGCAAAAACCTGTCCACCATAATGTAATTGCGAATAGATTTCGAATTGTCTTTGAAAAGAAGAAGAGGACCGATATTTCCTTTTATGAGATACTGAACCGGTATTTATCTAGTTTACACCTCCAGAGACCAAAACCATTCATTTCCTCAAATATTCCAACCCTTCCACCCTGGAGGATCCCCAAAATCATAATTGACCATACTCTCCCACAACATGATAAAAGTCAGATGAACCACGGAATAATCAATGCAGAATTTCATCGTCTTCTAGAACAATATCGCAGGTTTTCAAGCTTCGTACAAATTTCCAAGGAGAGCACGGTATTCACTGGAGAAACATACGCTATATGGAAAGCCTTGAAGTACATAAATATTAAAAAAATGGAAAATGCCTCATTATAACAAATTCCATGAGTGCTCTTCTGGCAATGAATCAATCAAACACCCAACATCCCATTATACTTTCTATAAAACAGGAGCTTCATGTACTCAAACAAAGGCAAGCAGTAATCAGATTCATGTGGGTCCCATCTCATGTGAGCATCCCAGGCAATGAAAGAGCAGATCAACTGGCGAAAGCAGCCATCTCAAATCCATTGATTCATACTGAACTCAAAATAAATCATATTGACCTGAAATTTTTCTACAAACAAGAAATCATCAACATCAGTGGTACAATTCCACCTTTAAGCTAGCAGAAGTAAAAACATCAGTACTCCCATGGAAACATATCCCCAAAAACAGAAGACATCAAGTTATCCTGACTCGTTTGCGACTGGAACATACCCGCTTAACACATGAATATCTCATAACAGGTGGTGACAAACCAAGATGTGAAGTGTGTAGAACAGACCTGAGTGTAAAACACTTCTAACAGAATGCGTGCTATATCACATCGACAGACTTACTCATCGCATCCCACAAACAATGAAAGACATACTTGGTGAAAATTGTGACACTGAACAATTGATAGCTTTCCTCAAAGATATACACATTTTTCGACATATATGAATTAATTTTAAATATCATATACTAATTGAATCATTTGTATTATGCCATTGCTAATAACCCTAGCGGTTGATGCAACTTTCTTTAAATAAAAAGAAAGCATCTAATGAATAGTCCTTACCCATACGTCTAAAGTGTGGCAATACTTTTCACAATATGCGTTTCGCCAGCAATATGGTGTCAGCCGATGATCCAAACTATATCGGTTTATATCATTTCTCAAACAGTTGTTTATCCTTGGTAGAATTATTATTTATCACATACACGCTGGGACCGAGTAGGTCCGGCCGTACACGGACCACATATTTGCAGTTGAGTCAACCACAACATTGTGGCCACGATGACTGCACTTCGCGGTTGACCCAACCACATTTTGGTGGTCGACTTGCGGTCATATGAACCGCACTTGCAGTTGAGGCAACTGACAAATATATTTTATGGTATCAGAGTTTAGTGTCAGTTTTAATATGGATTTTGAAGAAGAAGCACTACTACTTCTATTTTTGAGAAGAAGGAGAAGATGTAGAAAGGTACGATCGTTTTGGGTACATCCGCTTCTGGTTACGTGACAACAGGAAGGAAATTTTTATATTTTGTTTGAAGATGGTTGACAGTGTTTCGTAGTGCTTTTCATCAGTTCGGACTTACTTTGTCTAATATGATATAAATTGATTTGAAATCCCTGAAAGAATCTATAAAGAAATTAAAAAGATTAGCTGATAATACAATTTAATAATGCAAAAAACTGAAATTACATACAAGCAACAACCGGTAAACTCCGGCAAGACGAAAAACAGTTTTTTAATCACTTCAGAATGTCCATTAGTTCTTTTGATGAATCAATTAGAATTTTGAAATCAAAAATTGAACGCTGGGAGACCAATATGAGAAAAAGTACACGACGGTGTACGCGGTTGGGAACGACTGCAAGTTTGTGGTTAGTGTACGGCAGATGCCGCGATGACATCTCGGTCGAGATCAGCAGCAAGTTGACTGCAGACGTCCGTTTTGACTTTTGTGAACGCCCGTGTACGTGTAGTACACTTATGGGCGGCTTGAGTTCGCTGGAACGCGACTGCAGTTGTGTGGTCGATCCGACTGCAAAATGTGGCTCGTGTACGGGCTCTTTCAGTAGTAAATGCAGGCCGATTGCCACTGGCTCAGCATCTGACACCACAAATCTCTACTCGTCACAAGAGTAGATCCAAGTGTTTAGATCGTAATAAATCCTTTGGTGCCCGACTTCAGCCCCCTTTTGGTTTGAAGAAGGCAAATTTCACGTTCTTTAACAAGCCGAGGACTCCCATGTTCTTGAAGAAAACCCTTGGTCTTATCCTCAAATAGCCGCTGCAATGATGGTTTTTATCGAAAGAGTTCCATCTTGCCTCTTGGAGATAGAAATGCTCGAGTTCCTGCTTTGAATGATCTCGGATCATCCAGATGGGGATTCAAACTACTGATCCTAATGTAGAATCATTGCGTCAAAGTTATTTTCAGAGTTTTTTAGCCGTTGTGTTCAGGTTTTTATGTCATACATTTTGTCTATGATTGTGATAGACATTATCAAAGGAGATGAGGTAATAGACGAAGTGTTCTAATTATCCTCATAGCAGATATTAGAATATTTCTCCGGTTTTATTCCATCGATAGCGGGCGGCGCTTCGATCCCCTTGGGTTGAATTCTATCGCCTTGGCAACATAATTTTAGATAGGTAAATATTTTTGAAGGTACCCGGCGATTTTGAAAAAATTTTTGAGTGTACTTACGTATAATGCTTTTGATATATTTGAAATAAACACAAAAATTAAAAAAAATGCCATTGATTTATTAGCTGTACTACAAGTGAATTTATACAATGCATGCATATTCGAGCGTATCTTTCCTGACATTTTCAAGTGTAGCATAGTTATTCCAATCTACAAATTAGGTGATCTCAATATACCTGAAAATTTTCGTCCCGTCTCAATAACTCCATTTATTGGAAAAATTTTCGAAAAATACTTAAATCTCGATTATGTCTCTACTTCGAAAAGTTCAATTTACTGCATGAGAACCAGCATAGATTAGATTGATTTTATGAATTGAACAAACAAATAGGATATTTTCGAACTCATACATTAAATGTATAGTTGAATGTATAAGTGATTAATGTATAATGTAAGTTTGAAAATGTCCTTATAGGACGAAACTGCAGTAACGTTAGTTTAAAAATCCCTACGAACAACAACCCTCAGAAGTCGAAACTTGTGCGAGATAAGGACTAACGAGGTCTTACCTTTTAATGTGTGATTCCTAACATGGGTTAGGCGATAGAAAGTGAAAATCGATCGTTCAGAGTAGGGCTTGAACCACCGACCAACACAGCAGTCAATTCGAGTGAATGAATAAAGCACCCATGTCGAGCCGCCTGGCTACCAACCGACCGAAAAATAAAAGTGGTAAAAAATATAGAAAGTTTCAATTCTCATTTCTTCATTATGATATGATTTCCTACCACATAAGAATATCGAATAATAGTAA